TTCCACCTTCTCAGTTTGTCTTAATTTCGATGTAATAATAGGAAAACGTCATCAACGAATCGAACATAGAAGAGTGGTCAGAACTCTGGCGGGCATTCCTTACGGGCTTTCACCTCCAGTATAAAAGAGCACCTTGCTGGTCTACCTTAGACAGACTGACAATTTTGGTATTGTCCAGCATGCGATTACTGAAGGACATTCGTTCAGTCAGAGCGACGTCTCTTTTATAGACAGACCAAGAGGACAGACCAAGCTAAATTAGGACTGAATCATACAGGAGTCCTTGCATATACTGGTAAACAAAAGTCAGATGTGCCACGAATACACATCTTCTGTTGTCAGCATGTGACAGCTGGGGCGCCATCACAAAACTGATACGCAAAATAGGGTCAAAATGATTGATCCGATTTATTTTAATGTGAAGATTATACTTTATCAAAGAAGTTTAACAAGTTTTGACTGTGATGAGCCAATTGAAAAATTAGCGTTGTTCGCCTGTTGGACACAGACGCCTTGAAACAGTCATTTGTATTCAGTCCATCTCTGATGATAATGCAGTCTGTGCTGTGAAACGCGTTGGGATTAAACTACTTACCACCTGCTGTATCTGGTGTCCACAGCCATGAATCATTCAAACAAAGATGCAAATAATTCTGGCACCGCCACAAACTTTGCAACTTTTTTACACTAAAACATTTGATAACTTCGTCATAAGTTGAGTACGAAGATGGACCTGTAAAATGACACATAAGCAAATCAACAAATCATCATGAATAGATCTCTAAGGTCCGAAAAACAAGGTCCGAGCAGTATGCCACAGTCATTAGTAAGAAAAAAAGAAGTACAATGTAATAAATCTCAATTGCAAGCTGGTAATTTGGTGGTAGACAAATGAACATCACGTCAATAATATCATCTTTTATCATAAATCTAAATGTTACTCTGCAATCGCATTTCAGCTACACGATTTTAGAAAAAATTTAGCACTGATATGTCCAGTACATGAATACATTAACTGTTCGATATACGCTAATTGTGAATTATATTAATAAAGTAGTAAAAGTGACAAAACCATGCATGTAACGAAATTCACATCTAACTTTACCTTTGTGGACCGGCCTGCTGCTATGGGATGCAATTCTAAAACATGGACATGAAAACAACTTTTAATGAGGTGCAAACTAAGACCTTCTGCTCCGCAAACTAGCGCTACTACTATGTCCCAACGATGCAGTAGGCGCTTTTCTGGCGAATTTTTCAGTACTTTTCGAGGCACGTTGATCACTTGGCGACTTTACCGGCACTGCAAAAGCACTACATATAAAATGAAAATCAAAAATATTTCTTACGTTTAAATGACTTTGGCCGAGCTCTCGGAGGCGATGGGATTTCAATCCTTAGTTTCTTCACTAAAACACTGCGTTTAAAAATGAACTAAGCATTTTCGACGAAGATACTCCAAGTAACATACTGCCAAATGATGCAAATTAAGTAGTTGTTTTGCTTACAAACAAAACTGACACGAAGGAAAAAATGTACAAGAGCTATTCCTAAGTAAAAACTACTTTGATTATTCATTAAGGCGGGTACCGCCATCAGGATAAACTTACTTATCTGTTGTTCTTTTATTTCGATATTGTCGAGTACAACTGATCAGCATTCCAGGCGTGTAAAGTCAGTGTGCGTTACCTGGGCTGACTAAATGCCACTTTACCGTCTGGTCAGATAATAAAGAAAATACTAGCAGACGAAAAAATCTGCGAAATTTTTGACTAACCGTTAAAGGCATAATACTACAAGCATGTCAAACTGAAAAGCAAAATAATGTTTAAATATGTTATTTAGTTCCGCCTTACAAGGTACAATACCCAGTTACCGCTGTCATCTGTCGCTGCTACTATACTATCTCACGAACTATTTTTGTTGTTTTTTGACTTTAAATGTACCTGCTTTATCAATGAAACGACACAAAGCTTCTCTTGGACTATAATAAAAATCAATCAAAAATTGGTATTTTAGTTGACAAATTTTAGATAAACTTTAAATTCTTTTTTACAAAAACGCAGCATATTTTCAATAAAGCCAAATGAAAACAAATATTTAGAGTTATAACTACTGCTGGAAACTGTAGCTAAATATAAAAGTCAGTTAACGGATAACTAGTTTCATATAACCATTCTGTAATTTAATAACCGGGCCTTTCTACCAGCCTGCAAACAAAAGGAGAAAGGAAAGAAACAACAACTACTGGGATGTCGTTATTCATGCTTTCAATGCAACGTTATTTCTGTCCTCCTTTGTACAAAGATCTGCTGGTGCTGATCGTCGTTAAACTACCAACACTCGGAATGGCATTAACTTTAACGCAAAAAGGCTGTTTATTATTAAACGATACGTACAGCGCGTAATTGTAGGTACTGTTCCTGCAAAGTATTATTCATCTGATGCGGAGAGGAAAGATGAATGACATCAGGTGAATAAAAGTGAACTTAAACTCTCTATGAACCAAACGTCAGCTGTAACGACAAAAGGCTGGAATGCCCAAAATATAGGATCATGTCAGCCAACTGAGTATGTGAATGCGCACATGAATGTGCTACGGCAGAATATATAAACTTTACATTCGAAGAAGCTAGATGGCGAAACTTGGTTTTAGGTTGTAAGAAGCAGAATATAAAACCTGACACAACTACAAAAATTGTAACATTGATTACTGCTGAGCCCATGACAAAAACTTTAGGTATATTCCTTTAACAAAAACAGAACCTTTTTTAATTGTAAACCGCATCCGATTAATAATTCACATATTATATATTACCTATTCGCTCGGCAATGTTGGAATTGATAGCTATAAAGCTGTCCTCAGACTCTGCTTTTAAGAGTATGACCGTATGAAGTTTTGCCAAATAGCCCTCTAATTGAAGAACGTTCGCCTTGGCAAGTGTAAGGGATTTCCGGAAACGCTGTTCGTTGCTGGATTCCAAAGCAACGCATTCGTAGATAGATTTGTAGTGCTTCATCTAAAAAGCAGTGGTTTATAGGAAGCAAATGCAAAATTCTACATCGAATACGGGCAACTTACAAAGTATGCGATGCAGTGCCTCAGAATAGAGCAATGCACCTCCCAGGAAGTTGTGATGTAGTTGCAAAGGATACAGTAGTAAGCTGGCATCGACTGCGCTGGCGGCCGGATTTCGACCATATACTGTAAGCCTAACAAAATATACGACGTAGCGCAATAACATAGTAGCAGTTAACGTTTATACCGATAACACTGTCCCTGAATTCTTTCGTCAAGCCCTGGTACTCTGAAACTGCGATGCTACTGCAGCTGGGTATTTTTTCGTAGTTTAACACTCGTTCATAATCTGAAAGATTTAGCTTACATGATTAAATAAATTTGTAGTAATAGTTATCTGGTGACGAAAATATTCAGGAATTAAA